ACATTACTTCAGAACCAGAACTAAGAATGTTTTATTGATGTCACTGGAGGGAGACCATTTTCATCACAGCCATAATGCAAAGCTTATGTCTGGTATACAAGAAGTCCTATATCCATTTTAAGGCTCATGAAAAAGGTGAATTTGCCATTAAGTAAGAAAAAACTTTACAGCAATCACTAAACAAAGGAATTTCATATGCAAATTCTTCACTAATATGAATCTTATCTAAAGGAATCAGATCTTGTCCAAGTGTTTTTGTCCAAATCCCTTAGATGTTACAGAGATGCTTTCAAATGATTTCCCCTGGCTACTGTGACATAAAATTTATCTCCTGTTGCAGCCAAAATACACACCAGAGGGTGAGAATCTTTTAGACAAAATACAAATTGAATTTCTGTTTCCCATGCCCTCAAAATACGGTGCTATATTTCCAACTCATTTACCTTCCTCCAGCAAAATTGCTACATCTGATGATTACACCTGAATGAACTAGACTGGCTGAGGGCACACTTACCACTACCAGGGTAAAATCCAGTTCCCAACAGGGATGGTTAGATTCAGGTTTCTGCTCAGAGATGTTTCATGTGTGCTGGGTATCTGGCTTCCTATTATCATAGAATCATAGAATCTTTAAGGTTGGAAAAGATGTCTAGGATCATCAAGTCCAACTGTCAACCCAACACCACCATGTCTACTAGACCACATCCCAAAGTGCCATGTCTACACACTTTTTGAACACTTCCAGGGACAGTGACTCCACCACCTCTCTGGGGAGCCTGTTCCAATGTCTGACCACCCTTTCAGTGCAGCAATTTTTCCTAATATCCAACTAAACTTCCCCTGGAGCAATGTAAGGCCGTTTCCTCTTGTCCTATCACTTGTTGCTTGGGAGAAGAGACCAACACCAACCTCACCACAATCTCCTTTCAGATAGTTGTAGAGAGCGATAAGGTCTCCCCTCAGCCTCCTCTTCTCCAGACTAAACAACCCCAGTTCCCTCAGCCACTCCTCATCAGACTTGTGCTCCAGATCCTTCACCAGCTTTGTTGCCCTTCTCTGGACATGCTCCAGCACCTCAATGTCCTTCCTGTAGTGAGGGGCTCAAAACCTAACACAGTACTCAAGGTGTGGCCTACACTAAATGGAAGCCCACTATGACCTTCAGTTGCCTCCATCTACCACTTAAGAGTGAAGTTTCCTACAGAGCCTGAATGACAGCCCAGCAAATGGAGCCCAAAGCTGCATCAAGCTTCAGGTAAAGCACACACCCACCTTTGGTGAGTTTAGACACCTATTTGCCACGTCAATACCTCAGGTAGACTCCTTGGCTTATATGCCTCACACGGTAGGATGCATCTCCACCTACTGTCATCTAGTAATCAGTCAGCTAAGCAGCATGCTGAGATTGGGATTTATATACACGTCTTAGTCTGAGACAGAGTAAAAACCCAAAACTATAGACTACAGGAGTAGAATGGGGGGTAGGGAATGAGTGTAACTTCTCCCTAGCATAAAATATAGACAAGAAACATGTTATGTTTGGACAGCAATCCCATTTTAATGCACTTCCTTTCACCCTTAAAGAAGAAAGAGTTGTTTCCAGCATATGACCAGCTAAGACACTTAGATGAATGATCACTAAACAGCCTTTTACAAAGAAGCTAGCTCAGTCTCAAATAAAACAGAAAATAAGGAGTCTATATTCTACAGCCAGACCTAACTCACAGATCTCCAGAAGTTGTTTGGACTTTTTCAGTGCTATTGCAACACACTTCCATTCCATAATGCCTTGCAACAGCAACTGAATTTGATCAAATGAGTTTTTCTGACTCCCAAAAAAGAAACAGCCCCAAACTTACTACTCATACCTCATTATCTTCTACACAAATAACTCCTGCAACTTTGTTTAAACCCATCAGGAATGTAAAGTTTCCCTCTTAGGTCTGGGTGAAAATAAAACAGTGGCCTTGGGACTTTTTAGCAACCAGATGGGCCAAGCAGGAAGAAATGAAGAGCAGTCAATGGTGGATCGGCTGCACAACTTCATTTTTGTCTTTCACTCTGAGAGTTCTTGACATTATAAGATGGTTTTGATGACTTGCACTTTCCCATAGTTTTTTTGTCTCACTGTTCTTTGAAAACAAGACTGGGAAAAAATGAATGAACTGAGCTCTTCAGGATCTCCAACCAGCAAGATCTCCTCTCCTCCCTTCTGGCTTCTCTTCCAAGACTATATATTTACGGTCTGTATATTGTGAGCTTTTCAGACACACTCTGCTGCATCTCCTAGCTTCAGCCTCCCTGTCTGTAAAACCGCAATGAGTCTAGATGCCAGTCTCGCTCCAAGACTTTGTGTTCTGCAGAGGTGCACAATGTAAGGCACGTCCTGATTTCTTGCTTTTTTTTGAGTCATTTTCCACCAGGCAATGCCTGTTTCAATACAGAGTTTGCTACAACCAAATGGAAAGTTATCAGAATTGATATGAGCAAAAGCAGTTGCAAACTACATAATCCAAAATCACTGTATTCAGACTAGGGCCAGTTCAAGAATGCTTAATTGTGTGGACACATTTTTTGTTGCCAAGGATGAGATCAAAATAATTAATCCACAAAGACCTCGTACATACTGCGAGCTGGTCAGAATAAAGCCTTTGACTTTTCCACATCACTGGGGCAGCCTGGTTGTCTGCCTGTCTTTCTGTCCCATTGACAAAAAGGGGAAGGGCAGAGAGAGGCCTGGCACACAGGGATCCAGGACATCACACGTGTTTTGGAAGCAAAGATCTTCCTCAGATCAGTACAATAAAACAATAGGCAGGAAAGATTTTGTCGCCTGTGTCCACATTAACCTGCTGCTCTTTGCAGTAGTCCGACCTCTGCTCTTCATCCATTTAGGAACAAAACAAAACAACACCTTTAGGAATGTTTTGTAAACAAAAGAGTACAGATCCATGTTTGCAGTAGAAAGCTGTTTTCCTGCAAATGTTTGCACATTTCTTCAATGGTAAGAACAAAGATGCCTCTAATATCTGCCTTCAACTTTTTCACCTGGGAGATAAAGGTGCAGGGTCTTTTCCTTCTGCAGTTTTATTAGCCACCACATTACTACTTTCCACAAAAAAAGAAAATGCCACACCAATCCTCTCAGCTGAAAAAAAACCACCTGACTTCCTCCTGTTGAAGTTTCAATAAAAATGTAAACAGCCCTTCAGGAGGGCATTGCATGATATTCCAAAGTGGTATTTGCATGAACAAAATACTGTTTATACATTAGTGCTGAACAGCTCCAAAGGAACCATCACCATTTATTAATTAATTGTAACTGATAAACCTACTGAAATGCATTAGTGATTCTTCTTTCATAAACAAAGAGCTGATGCCAAGTTCACTTGAGGAGCTCACTTGAGAAATCATAGTATCTCTCAAAAAGCCATTTTCTGGTCTTCTTGGTACAGTAGGGATCTCTGATAAGTATCATTAAAATTGTATTAAATCAAGAAATTTTTAATGAAATTCAAAGCTCAAAGCAGACATGGAACTCTGTTTCTGTTTACTTTTCCAGATCCACTCACCACAAGTGTCTTACAAAACTGAGAAGGGGCATGTTTATATGCATTTCTGCTCACTGGGGCAGTCTATAATTTTAGGCTTATTTCCAGGTCAGTGAGATGCCTATCCATTTCAGTGTTAAGTATTCGGAGATATCACAGAAAAATAATATTGAAAGGATCCCAGTGAGGTCCATCTGAACGTTCCAAGTGGTGAGCCATGGACCATGGGTTCTGTAATGGCAGAACACAAAGGGGCATGAGGAAGGAGTAGAAAAGGAGTACTCAAAGCTTCAGTTTTCTTTGTTTATAAATGAAAACCTTTGAGAAAAAGCTGCACAAGAAGGTATGGACTTGTTTTTTTTTTATTTCATTTCTTTTCCCCACATGAAGTGGTTAGATTACCTTCCAAATAAATGAGAATGCAGGACATCAGTCTGGTCTATCCCTTGCCCCAAGGATCAGCCTTATGCTATTCCTGCCAGCTCTTTGTCTGACCTGCTACTGAAGGACTGCAGAGTTGAAGGCAAAACAGTGATTAAGGCTGTGGTCAACAGGTAGCTGGCTGCTGCAGTGCTCACTGCATAGCTATACAGATTTGGTCTGCACTCCATCTTTTAATTTTTCCTCCATCTCCATTTTCCAAGTTTTTGGTCTGCTCATTATCTTCTCAGTATCTGTAGTAATCCCCATTCCTCAACCTAGTGGAATTGGCTGACTCAGTCCTTTCTGTTCTCTGAGTGCTCATGCTGGGATCTAAAATATTCCCTACAATCAGCTAACCAGGACAGGCATGGTCTGACGATACCCAGCACTTCAGAGGTTTCACTGAAACCCATCCCCTGTAACAGGTACCAAGACAAACAGAGGTAATAATGAGAAGTTATTTACAGAATCAGCACTGTGACAAGACACTAGGTGATCATTTGAGTGGTCAAGACATTAGGGTGATCATGAGCACAATATCTATTGTCCAGCTTTCCTTCTTCTGGATCCTGGGATTTTCCACCACACCTTGGTCTGTGTTCATAGCGTAAGGCCAAAAAACTCTCAAGCTTTGCCATTCCCTACATCCCATTCCCTACTCCTTCTCCAGAAAAGGGTCCTGAACAAGCAGGCATTTGCTCTGAATGTCCATGTTTAGACAGCCTTTGTTTTGCTGTCCCTGGGGACCTTTGCTTCAGCCATTTCCCCTCCCGAGACAGCTTTCTCTGTCTCTGGCATTTTACTTCAGTCTTTCTCTCTCTCCCTCTATATCAAGCCAGACAAACTGCATCGCTCAGCAACATTCTCTTGTTGGGAAACAAGCTGGTAAGTTGAGCAAACTCTGTGTAAAGGTACTTGAAATATTTAAGGATATTCAGAGGTATTTGGAACTCCAGCTACTTGGAGACAAATGCCTCTTCTCACTACTACAGTAATGTTTCATTTCCCTTACACACCTGAAGGCAGACTTTAAAGGCTGATGTTGATAGGCCTTTTTCAAACTTGGTATAAAACCATGTGGAGGCACATAGAACTTAGAAGGAATGATTTTTCCTGCATTTTTCTGATAGCAGTAGGTGCTAACAGGTGCAAGAGCAATGTTTCACTTTGCAGATGGGTATTGAAGCCCAAACCCAAATGAGGTAGATACCCATGTCAACAGAACATAATGATTTTCCTTCTTCACAAGCTGCTGGAGAGTGTCCTTTGGCAGAGAAAAGAAAGTATTCTTTTTTAGAGCAAGACTCTGCCAGTCCCATCAGCATCATTTCTTTGGCTAAAATCTTAGTCTCTATGTTTTTTTCCTCTGCAAAGTCTCCAGCTCTGCACAGTGACAGTTTTTGTCTAGCTGTGCAGAGCAGTACAGTAACTTGCACACAAACCAACATGTAATCTCAAAGGTACTTGTGCATTTGTGCAACAAATGGATAAGTCCCTCTTCTATTTTCTCTTTCTAGCTTACAACTATAATTAATGTATTTAAGCAAATTCTTCAGTTTGTATGATTTTGTTCCTTAGCACTAGTGCTAAGTCCTTTTTATACTGCTTTAACTAGAACAATAAAGTTGCCAAAGCAACATATGTGAAGAAATCATTTTCAGGTAACATTTGTCTGATCTGATCTCTGACCCACAGTGACACTACCCTGGACATATGGGGCTCTCTCTTGTTCTTTTTTCATAGAATCATACAAATGTTTAGGTTGGAAAAGACCTTTAAGATCATCAAGTCCAACCATTAACCTAGCACTGCCAAGTTCACCACTAAATCATGTCCCAAAGCACCACATTTACACATCTTTTAAATACCTCCAGGGGTGGTGACTCAACCGCTTCCCTGGGCAGCTTTCAGTGAAGACATTTTTCCTAATATCCAATCTAAACCTCCTCTGGCGCAACTTGAGGCCATTTCCTCGTCTTGTTGCTTGTTACTTGGGAGAACAGATGACACCCAGCTGGCTACAACCTCCTTTCAGGTAGTTGTAGAGAGCAAGAAGGTTTCACCTCAGTCTCCTTTTCTCCAGGCTAAACCCCACTTCCCTCAACCACTCCTCATAAGACTTGTGCTCTAGACCCTTCACCAGCTTTGTTACCCTTCTCTGGACATGCTCCAGCACCTCAATGTCCTTCTTGTACTGAGGGGCCCAAAACTGAACACAGGACTCAAGGTGCAGCCTCCCCAGTGCCCGGTACAGGGCAATGATCACTTCCCTAGTCCTGCTGGCCACACTATTCCTGATACAAGCCAGGATGCTGTTGGCCTTCTGGGCCACCTGGGCACACTGCTGGCTCATGTTCAGTTGGCTGTCAGCTCACACCCCCAGGTGCTTTTCCCGGGGCAGCTTTCCAGCCACTCTTCCACAAGCCTGCAGCACTGCATGGGGTTGCTGTGACCCAAGTGCAGGACCCAGAACCGAGCCTTGTTGTTTGTTCTTGGTTTTGTTTGGATTTTTTTAATTGCAAATCACAATTTCCATTTTATGATGAACTAGAAACATCCACTGGGCTAGGACTTATCTGTTATTCAGAATGACTTAATAGGGTTTTTTCCAGGTTGAAGCATGTACTGCATTTTATAATCAATTTGTGAAAGATGTCAAACACTGTTGATGGCCTGTCAGTGGTATCTCATTTGTATGCATCAGAGTCAGTGTTCTTCTTACCTCTTATTTGCTGTGCACATTCGATTTAGTATACTTAATATCTCTAAGCAGTGAAATGTTCACTTCAATTGATTCACGAGCTTGCAAACCTCCTCTGCTGTAAAAAAATAAACACACTTCCTAGTTGAAATAGTTTATATTCCCTGATGGACTTTCATTCATTCTCTTTCTGCTCTGTGACCTCTTGTAAAGCCTACAAGGCAGCACGAACAATTATTTTCTGATACATAAGTGTATTGTATGCCAAACAGCTATTAATATCATAAGACGACACCATTTCACGTCAGAAACTACAAGATGGTGGTACACAATGAGATGATTGAGATGAACATATGCAAATATGGGAAGATAGAAGCTGAGGGAAGGTTATCATCTGCCTCTGAGCTGGGGGTAAGTTTCTGCAGCAGTAAGAAACCTAAGGCTAGTACAGTTCTCTTGATACAATCTGCTGCACTTTGGTTTTGAAAGGTTAAAAAATGTCTCAGTTCCACACATACACACATCTTGCACTCTGCAGGAAATTGGTCTCCTTTCAATCTGAGTGCATCATTCTGCAACACTCAAACCACGATGAAGCACTTCTACCATTGTCTTTGTAGACACAGAGGCCCTTAGGAAAGGCTATTACTTCAGTCACTGGTAAAAGTAGTATTCCTGTTGATTGCAAATAAACTGGAAAAGTGGTGAGCTCACCTAAGCAGGTCCTGCTGAAGATTAAACAAGAAAACAAGCTCAAAATATAGAGTTTTTCTGTAATATTTCAAACATAATTTATATTCCAGTGTTGTTACAAAAAGCTTTACTGCAGTGTGCATATATGTTTAAGCAGCACACCTGCAACTCCAACCTTGTCATACAACGGAATATCTGATGGTGCACATACAAAGCTCAGTGTGAGCTGGGCCAATGTGTCCTGGTCAGCCTGCCCCAAAAAGATGCCTTGGGTTGGGGACACACCATCACACTAACCTGGCTCATCATCTTACTGGCCCAGATCCCTCCAAAGGTAAAAGTTAGGCTTCCACTCCCACATACTTTCACAAACAGGTATCTTGATGGAGCATTCTTCCTTCCCCATCCCACAGTGATGCCTGTGTCCACTGCTGAAGGGCACTAGGTCAAGAGCCTTCAAGGTTCTGCAGCTGTGCAAGGAGGGGCCAGAAGGAGGCATCTTTGTTCCTGAGACCAACATGCAGAACAGGCATGTTCTTGAGCCTCCTTTTACCTAACTCCTGCCAGTTAAATCCTGCTACAATGCAGCAGAAGCAAAAAAGCAAAAAAGCTGGAAATGAAAACAATCATCAGCCTTCAGCACAAGGCACTAAGAGGATATTCAACCACTGTGACCCTGGCACTGGCAAGTTGCACAGGAACAGAAATGAAAAGGATGCAGACACGATGGGGAGTGATCCTGGTGTACCAGACTGAGCTGCCAGCTAGGGAATGCAAACCCGACTACTCTTTTGGGGAGACATTATTACTCCATGATACCTGGAAGGCCACAGACTTTTACTTATGCTGCAGAGTGTGTGCAATCCTAGTTAAAAAAACACTCTGCCTTGCTTCAGACACATTATATTAATGTGGTTTAAGCTGCATTACACCAAAATAACAAGCCATTTGCTGTGTGAACTGTTCTTTTAAAGTATTACATTATACAACTTTTTTCCCTAAAAGATAAGACAATGCCTTTTATGGCTGGGCAAGAGAATAAGAGACAGGTTAAGATTAATAGATTAACAGAATTACCAGAGATTAAGATAACAGGAGGTTCTGTTGCCATCTCTGTTCCAGAGCTGCTGTACGCACCTTTGGGATGGAGCTTCTCAGTACCCCATTTCTGCTTCTCAGGAATGTTTTTCATCTTCACTGTCTGCATTGTAAACTCTCTGGAGGCAGGCATTTTTCAGCCAGAACTCTGTAACTGTACCTGGAGGGGTGCAGTCCCATTCCTAGGGGGACACTCCATGCAACCCCACAATCAAAAAAGCAGGGACAACTTCCTGTATACCACAAATATGCAGTGGCATCTGTTCCTGTTCTGATCAATAATCCCTGGCAAGTGCTTGTCTTTTCCTCCTCACCTCTGTGACCCAGCTAGGGTGCAGCTATAAATAATGTCTGCTAGTCCAGATGTCACAAACCAGCTGCCCAGGTTCCCTTCCTATCCCATGGAGATCTACTCCAGATAGCCATAGAGCTTGGGATGAGATTCTTCTGGCCAAGTGGAAGCATCTATTTTAGGAGGGGAATTCTCCTCTGGACTTGCTGGCTGGATATGTACTGATGAAGAAGAGGACCTAGGCACCCTGTTCACGTGAGCCCACCTGCAGCAACTTGGCTTTAGTCATATGCAACTTGTAGTACCAACACAAAAAAGATCTTGAAAGCATCTTGACATATTGCTTGCCACAATATTTATTTGCCTGGGATTTACAATTGTTTCAGTCTCATTTCTCTGTTTCCCAGTAATAGTTCACTTTGGCACAGAAAAAACAGCTGAATCACAAAAACATTGTTAAGTGTGCAAATCTCTGCTGCTCTAATAGATTTCCTAAATTCATGCTGGTGACAGATTCCAGACTCTGTTGGGTTTGTGTGGCAAGGTTTTGGTAGCGGGTGGGGGCTATAGGGGTGGCTCCTGTGAGGAACTTCTAGAAGCTTCCCCTGTGTCTGACAGAGCCAATGCCAGCCAGCTCCAAGATGGGCCCGCCCCTCGCCAAGGCCAAGCCAATCAGCGCCTCTGTGATAACATATCTAAGAACATATCCCTGCCCTTATCTCGACCCAAGCCTTCTGTTATACTTCTCCTCCCCATCACACTGGGAGGGGTGAGCGAGCAGCCGCGTGGTGCCCTGCTGCCAGCTGGGCCTAAACCACAACACAGACCTTCTCTGTTGCCTTGGGAAAAGAGAGTCTTTCCCATAGTTTTTGATTGATGAGGATGATGAGCCTATTCAGGAAGCCCGGACAACATCATCCTGTGAGACAACCCTGCTGACTGGAATCTCCCTGTTTTAAAGGCTAACAGAGACTGGAACAACACCATACAACAGTACCTTTGGTGACATGTTTAGTACTTACATATATATTGTGTTTCACAACTGCCAGCAGTGTCAAACTCATCTGAAGAGAGCCGTGAAACCAAAGAAGTGAGAACAAGATGACTTGTCCCTCTGGTGGGAGGCAAGTCACCTGTCTCTGCTGCCATGGAGGGGCATTAAATGCTGCTCCCTATGTGGACTGTTGTGTTCCAAGGTACTCAGATTATACCAGTTAGCTTCAAAACAGTTACGCTAGCACCAAATGAATTTAATAGTACTAAAGGAAGAAAAGTTTTTTTAATTAAAAAAAAAAAAAGCCAGAAGACCAGACATTTTAGCAAGATGTTATGGCTGCCCCAGCTGCTTCCTCAGTGTCTGTGTGGGAGACTGCGAACTGCTCCCCCGTCCCAGCAGATTTCCCAGGAAGGCATGTCTCCTGGAAGGACACCCCTGTAGGAGCCTCCTGCCAGGAAGAAATGATACTGCATAAGGACACTGGGACTGGCCATCTCAAACACAGCATCCTCCCACAGCAAAGTTTTAAAGGGGCTGCAGTCAAATCTTCAACAACTGTTACAAGCATTTCCCATGTAGTTGAGTGCTGTAAACCTCTTCATAGATGCAAGAGATGTTTAAACAGCTGTAATACACTCTAACTGGTGAAATTACTTACCTATCAGAAAAGGTAGGAACTCCTTAGAAATAATTAATGCCCCTTCACTTACTTTCTTAATATACTTCAAGTAATGTGGACACTTGGTAGCAGCAGCATAGCAATACACTGGTGCTGTGATGCTTCTTGGAAGCTATGGTGATATCAGTGGGGTGGTACTATACCAGACAGAGAAAAATGTTCTTTAGAATGGGCTGTTACTCAAATTAGATGCCTGTAAACCTCAGCTTACTGCATGCAATCAAGGTCTGCTTGAAGAAATGTTAACGTACTTTCTGTCAATGATTTGTCATGTTTTCTCAAGCCTGAGGGTCATTAGGCTGTGAGTAGAGGAGACTGGGTTTTCATGAGAAGTTGTGGAACTTCCATAGTCAAGAAACAACAGTAATTGCAGACACACCACGCCCAGAATGAACCTCTTTAAATTTGGTTTGCTCTGAGCAGTTTCTTCATACACCCACAGACAGTAACATAACATATACACTCACACACACACAAACATTGTATCTGCTAGCCAGACTAGCTCGCTCTTCTCTCTGCAGCTTGGGCTATTTCAGTTCCATGTGGGAGTTTCATCTAGGATGCAGCACTGGTGAAACATAAATAAAACCCCAAACAGACAAATCTATCTGGAAGGAAAAATTCAGACAGTAAAAGGCAAAGTGTGCCTCTAGGAGTCTGCGAACAGAAGCTATCAAAAGCTGTTACCTTCCCTCAATTTAAAAAAAAAAAAAAAAAGGAAAAAAATTACTTCAGAGATGTGACTCCTTCTGAAATCATGCATGTCATAACCCCAAAAGGTTTATTAACAGATTTGACATCATTGGAGCTGACACGAATCTTTGTCAATGCCTGAAAAGCTTCCTCGACAAAGGGAGTTGCGTGGCCCCTTCCACAATCCCTGTTCTCGCAGAGCACTGCCAAAGCTGGCCCAGAGTCACACACATATCCTTGCAGAACAGGAACAATGTTAATTTGCATGGAGGTGCAAATGAGGAGTTCTGGGCTGCAAGGGCTTGGTGAAACAGGCAGAGGACTGTGGTTTTGACTTCCCATGAGAGGTGCCTCAAAGCCCTGTACCTGCACTGAGCGACTTCTCACCCAGGAGTCTCTGTGTCACCTGCTGCTGAGCCCTTGGCCATTCCCTCCTCTGGGGTCACTTGATGAGGCAGTCCTGCCTGCATCCCTCCAGCAGCTGGGCCCAGTCTGACCCTTCCCTGCCACCCGTCCCTGGGCTTGCCCATCACTGTGGCTTGAGGGAGCTACCTCCATACTAACATAAGGCTATGCTGTCCTGGCAAAGAAGCCCTGGAGGTGCTCCCAGTCCATTCTCATCTCCTTCATTCCCTTGGTGCCACTGTCTTTGATTCATCCAAAAGCTGCAATGCATGAACAGTCTCCTGTCTCCCCCCTGACATACACACACCCACAGCATGTAGCCTTTCCACTGGGGCAAGTGAAACTTTAGGACAAGGATTTCCTGACACGAGTTGACAATGTGCTGCTACCTGAAGGCAAGCTTAGAATGCAGCACTGAGTATCCCAGACATGTAATGGATAAAGTTGCTTTTCTGGCCACCTGCCTCCATAATTTAGAGCTATTAGCAACTGTAGACAGAATCAGTTCATGAAACAGCTAGCTCATTCTGCCCAGTGTTTTCTAAACACTGTTGCCTGTCCAATGACCTTGGGTTTGGTTGCTACTGTGAAACCTAGTATGATTCCATGCAGGTCACTGAATAGACTATTTGCAGAAAGCGCCAAAAATGAAAAAGATCTCCAAAAGGTGGAGAGGAAGCAGTGCTGTAGCAGTTGGATCCTGATGAGTTCAAAGCTTTCAAGAGATCTGAGATGCCAAACTCGGCCATGAGAAACAAAGAACTGAAGTCTCTTTCAGCCCGAGACACATGGCTTTATTTGTAAAAAAGTAATTTAAAAAATTCACAATGGCAAGGCAGTTGTTAACATATTACATTGTTTCATATTCTAAGAGACTGAAAGTGCAAATGAAAGGCTGAAAATACAAAAACTAGAGAATTAAAGAATTCTTATAATATCTAAATTAAAGGAAAAGTTCGCTGAACTGTTGTTCATGCTTCAAGTCTGATAATTAAGATGTGTAAGGTTATTTTCAAAACTGTCATTGTTGGGTTATTCTGTGATGATTGTATCTCACCTAGGAACCTTAAAATCTTTGTCCAGGCAAGAAGCAGATTCAGTATGAAATGTTTGATCTGCAAGTCCTTAGAAGTCTGTATCCATAGAAGAGAGACCTGAAGAAGTTGTCTTCACAAGCGTATAGTGTAGGGTGCTCTCACCCTACTGTAGGGTGCTGCATACTTTTGAGCAGTGTTTGGTAGATACTGGCCAGGGCCCAGCACAGTGCAATAAGTTGTGCCTCTTTGGAAAAGCCACAATGTTTTCCTATCAAATATTCTGTTACTTTATCAGGGTCCTGTAGCTGTTCAGCGATGAAGTTCCAACTATTGGAGGTGAGAAGTTGTCTAGATACCGGCCCATATTGTCCCTCATGCCATGCCATCCATGACTATTCAGCCTCAGAGCAGATCTCTGGGTGTTATTCTTAAAACAATTTTTTGTAATCCTAAA